ATGTCTCGTCTTCGCGATCCAGCGGAATACGTCTCTAAGGCAAAGCATCGATGGGCTGGTCATATAATGATAAGGACAGACGACAGATGGACACTAAGAACCCAGGAATGGATTCCTCGCGAAGCAAAACGTCCTCGAGGAAAGCCACCGACCGGATGGGCTGACGTATTCGTTGCACGGATGAACCAGTTGGATTCTCAGCTGGTAACGAGTAATGGACCTGGACTTTGCGAACGTCGCCGCCACATTTCAATACCAACATCGTGGATGACGCTAGCGAGAGACAGGGGCGGATGGAAACAGTGCTGTGGCCTGCACGACAAGTGAAGACAGGCCATCTAAGTATCTAAGTATATATATATATACATTATATATATATATATATATATATATATATATATATACTGATGCGGTAAACCCTATATAAAATTTGCTGAGATATTATACCACTGTTTGAATGCAAAACATTTGATGCCCAAAATGCAGCGTTAGCAGCCCAGCGAAGAATTAGTTGCACACGACTAAGCTGTTGTAGTACCTGCACAGTCTGGAGTACAAAAAATGTTCAAAAATGGACTTTCTTAACTTTACAGCAGAAGCATTCACCTTCACGAAAAATCCCATGTCACAATAGATTCAGATCATGCTTCCAAACTAACATTTTCCCAGTTGTCACAACTTAACACTCTGCCGATTATTCACACACTATTTGTTGACTTTGCACACATGCTTGTGAGTACGTTTGATCGAAATCAAGTACTTGCAAACTGATGTTACAGCTTCACAGCTCATATTTGCTGATAGTCCATAACAAGATCTAGATAGATCATCCTACCAATGAGATAATCAAATTTCAGTGTGATAATCTCTTGTTAGAAACAAATAATGGGTAGACTTATGCTGCATTGAAGAACCAATATGAACAAAAATTCAAAGCCTCGCTCCGCTTTCATAGGGTATTAAAAACACTTATAATAAATATTAAATAATTATCTGTATCAATAGAACTATTAAGCATATATCTTTATCAGATATTCATGATAAATAAGATTGGAAGATTTTCTCAAGAGCTTATTATAGTTTATACGCTATACTATTCAGTGATGTTCCTTGAATTTATGAATCCACGTTGTGATAAAGCTATTCTTGGCAATATAATATTGTTGAATGAATAAATTCGACGGATCGGTTTAGCATAAGAACCGTCAAATCCGACGATGAAGCTATATCATGTGGAGGAGACGCAACTAGCTCGCGCCCGCTCAAAACTGCTCTTGATTTATTACGGTATAAAAGATATATTGGGCATGATACTCACAAAAGAGGTAGAGCAAAAACTGGAACATTGTCAGAACAATGTCGGCATGAACATGAATTGAAAATGATGGATGACTATAAATAGGAAATCTGAGTCGTAGATGATAGCAGTCCAGGCACAAGCATAATGCTACAGTTGAATATATTTCGAAATATATACCGAAATTTAGATTAATTGTGAAGAAGCTGGTAGAGTCCTGCGCCCAATTGAAGATGAGCCTTACTACCATGGTTTTTTGAGTAGAGATGAAGTGGAGAAAATAATTAAGAAAGAAGGAGAATTCCTTGGTTAGTTGGAAATTTACGAGAACTTTCCGAGCATTGCGTATGCTGTCAGTCACTCCTGTTTATAGTCAGAAAAACAGAGGTCGGTGGACGGCACTATTTCGTCATTAGCCTCAAGGACGAAGGGATTATGAAACATTTCCTTATAAAGCGTACCAGCAAGGTAAGTTGCAGCTAATTCAATGAGTTTTGAATTCACCTTTTTGCAGAAGCGACTCTACTGGGTGAACGACTACGCTTTCAAGACAGTCAGCGACTTAATACAGTATCATCTAAGAAATCGCGAACCATTGAGCACATCCGGGGTTTTCTTGGAGAAACCATGTCCAAAAGAGGAATGGCAGCTAAATCCTGAGCAGGTTCGCAGTTGGCTGGTATGGCGCGACTTCTATTATTAAAATAATCTCATTGTCAGAAAAATACAACTTTTTTGTTGGAGACTCCGCAAACTGCCTTTGAAGTTGTCGCAATGTTTAGTTGAGGTCAAAAGATTTAGCCCGTAGAATTAGTTCAAGCAAATGTTTTTCATATTTTAGATTTGAAGGGAAAGAGCAGTTGTTACTTCTTCTCCTTTTTCTCATATGGCAAATGAGAGCAAACCAATGCGCATTAACTGAACCCACCAAGTATATAGCTGCTCTGCCGTTGAGATGTTTCATAGTTTCATTGTTGCTCGCTTTCTGACTGCTGCAAACTGCCTTGCCGCTCTCTTTTTTTGCTTAGGCTTAAACCCTCATCACATTCCAAATACTTTACGATGAACCGGATTATAAAAAGAAACAGAGTAGATGCTTATAGTTAACGAACGAGAACACAACATACTAGATAATCCTTTGAAATCCGCATTACCAAATAGTCATCTCTCTACTCGTTCTCTTGCCCTCTAGAGAATCATACCTACATTTACAAGCTTCCATCTGGCAAGTGCGAACTACATCACATCATTCCATAGAGATCCTTTGTGCTGCGTCGTAACAATGCATCCTTTCCCCTAAAAAAGGTTGATTATAGGAAAGCAATATGTATTTGAGTGGATGACACTTACGATGCAACCATAAAGCTCCAACTAGTTCACCCCATATGCGGTCCCACAATCCTTTCATGTGCTTTTTGATCCAGCATCACCACTCATTAATCTGTTTAGCAAACAGATGATTAGCTTGGAGAATATATTCAGTGAACTAACAACCACTTTGATGTTCCTTAATATTATATTAATGACCAGCTTGCATACCCGGCTACGCTCGGCTGTTTCAGAGTAATCAATGGTACTTTGTTTTGAGGTAATTTTTTCCTGGAAGGAGCCAGTAGATTAAGATTTCCAGCATAAAAATCCTCTCTTAGCAAACATAGGCTGAAAAAAAATTACGTCGTACTGTTCAGCATGTTAGCACATCTTTGCATAAGTTAGTAGCAACACGAAAAAACCACGAAGTTAATAGATATCCTAAATGAATATACTCGTAATCAGCCTGTTAACAAACGTTTACCAATTTCCAGTAGTTCAAAGCAAAAAGCCGCCAAATTGATGAAAAATTGATAGACCATCGAGTGGTTATCAAATTCGTAATCAGCACATTAAATTACCCCAGTACATCAACTCTCAGCTACTCAGAAAAATGCGATATATCAATAAACTCGATCGATGAATTTTCACGAGGATATCAAATTCGTAATTGGCATATCATGTTATCCCAGTACACCAACTCCCAGCGCCTTTGACCAGAA